CTCAAGATGACTCCTGGTGATCTCCTTCAAGTGCACTACCTACTTTCTCTGACAAACCCTCTGTCTCTTAAATTATAGTCTGTGAAGGGTAGACAATGAGCATTTTCTGATTTCATGGTTATTAACCAGTATCCTGTGACTCTGAAGACCCATCATAGGCAATATCCTCTGATTTTGTTAATGTAAAAATGTGTAGTTTAAGATTGGATTGAATCTCTTCAATATCTATAACACAGAATTACTATCTATATTATGAGAAGTAATCAAATTACTAGTGATAGCAATTAAAATTCCTTTAATGAAGGCTATTACCAGGCTAGAGAGGTGTGACAAAATTTGGAAGGTCTAAGGATATAACTTTCAGAATGTCAAGGAATAACTCTAGGTAATATAACTGGCTTGTTTTAAACTGAGACCAATGCCAGGTTCCACATGCATTCTAGTGAGGCCCATCATTACCTAATCAAATGTCTGGGACCATACTACATCAATGTGGTGATGAGCAACTATCTGCAGTGAATTAGTCCCAACAGCAGAGAGAATGTGAACAAAGGAGCTGGCTTCAGAAGGAAAGTCCCCTTGTAACTTCAAAGCAACATCTGGGAATTAAACCAATCAAAATGAAGTCTGCTGTAATTACTTTTAAATTTAAATAGATGAACTACCCATCCTTATTTTTAATTTCTTCATCCTAATCATTTACAATATTCTCCCATTTCATAAAACTTTTAGTCCAATTGATGTTATAAGAAATTCATTTGGATATATTATTAGATTTACATATATATATATATATATATATATATATATATATCAGGGATTAAACATCAAAAGAAGGTCCATTCAATCCCAAGTGTCTCATGTGCAAGATAGTTTGTTTCATACACAATTGGAATTCAATTCAATATTTCTATTATGTACTATAAAGCACATGGGAACAATATATCTCTTTAATGCAAGTAAAATCCTATATTACAAACCTGTAACTCATGTGAGAATTGATGATGGACAGATATTAATTAGCTATGTGCATATCTGTGTATTCATCAGTATGACATTTGTATTGGAAAACACCAAAATATAGATAGTTGGTAAATGTTCATTTAACCAAAATCTGCTGTGATATGTGTGTGTGTGTGTGTGTGTGTGTGTGAGTTGCGGGGGTGGGGGGGCGGATAAACATTGGAGATTAAAATCAAGGGTCCTCAACCACGGAGCTGCATCCCCAGTCCTTTTATTATTATTAATATTGTTTAATTTTAGTCTGAGACAGGGCTCACTATTGAGCTGAGGCTGCCTTTCAACTTGTGATCCTCCTGCCTGTGCTTGACAAGTCATTTGGGATTACAGGCACCATGAGCCACCAAACCAGGCCAAGATCTGCCTCTTAAAATTCTGTAACAGGAGATATCAAACTAATCTTTTTTAATTGCTTTTAGGAAAACTTCTGTGATCAAGTATCACTTCATATTAGGACTCTGTAGGCTAAAAGGCAAGGAAGTAATCAAGAAAAGGAAGAGAAAGGCAGAGGGAGGATTGAGGGAAGGGAGCAAAATCAAGATTAGAATCACAATGTTCAAACACCTTTGAATGTTAAAAAGAAGATTAGTCTCTGAAATTCAGTTATTGCTTGCACAGGCACAGGATGAAATCAAAAGTGTATAAAACATCTCATTTGTTTTAGCAAGCAAATATGGCCAATCACCTCAAAGAGCAATGCAGACAAGTCAGATCTCAGGTTTATCTCCTGGCCAAAAAGCAGCATAGCTCTATCGAATATGTTTCTCAAACTATGACCTTCCCATCCTTAATTGTTTAAGGTCCATTAAAGTTGTTACCTATCTTCTCAGATGTGCTTATAGAAAGGAAAAGACAATTGCACCATGGATTATTAGAGCTGGATTAAACTGACCAAACTATAATAGCAATGCTACCCAATTAAATTCTCTAAGGATGGAAACCATTTCTTAGAGATAGATTAAGCACTCAATAGTTTTAAATGAAATTGAATTTTTTTGTTTGTTTTTGTTTTTCCTCTGTAAGGAAAGGGCCAGCCAAGAGAAGTTAAGGACACTTAGAATTACCATCTAGGTGTGCTGACACCCAGGCCTAGGCCCTTACTTCGTAATGTAGAAAAGGTCACAGAAGGAACATTTCTCCCAGGCAGTGTTACTGAGCCTGTCTCACCTTAATGCTGAAAGCATCAGTGCTGATTTCAGAACTGGTGAACATACTGAACCGAGGGTCATGAGTATGGAGTCCCTGACCTGCATCACACTTTGGAAACTTAGTGACTGATGTTCAAAGTGTGTGACCTTCATTACCACTAAAAATCAAGTGTTCATTAACAAATTCAATCAGCCTTTTTAAAAGGGCTCACTGCATGCTTGATTCTACACTAGATAGAAAAAATATAAAAGTGAATAAAATATGTTCTGTGCCCCTGAAAGCATCACAGATGTGTGAATAAAACAAATGTGAAGGCTTTATTTTATTTATTTTTGTGTGGTGCTAAGGAGTGAAGCCAGTGCCTCATGCATGCTAAGCAAGCATTCTGCCACTGAGCTACATCTGCCACTGAGCTATGGTGGGGCTGCAGCTCAGTGGCAAAGTACTTGTCTAGCAAGCGTGAGGCACTGGGTTCAATCCTCAGCACCACATAAAAATAAACAAATAAAATGAAGTCATTCTGTCTACCTACAACTACAAAAAAAATTAAAAACAAACAATAAAAATCAAACAAAATCATTTCCACAACACAATAAGTGCTCTAATCGTGGTGTTATGGGAAGAGAAAGTATAATCTCTCTCTCTCTCTCTCTCTCTCTCTCCTATGATTAAAAGACTTTGATGTTTGAATAGTCTTGAAGGTTAAGTCATAGAAAAAAGAGAGGTTTCTAAGGAGAGAATTGATAGACCCAACCTGATCTTTTCTTAAAATTGGGAGCCATCTCGCCACAAAGCCATGAAAAGATAATTCCGGCTTTACTATAAATTACTGCAAATTCTGAACCTGCTTGGAATGCCTGCCGGTGCCTTGAACTCACCCATGCCTGGCTCTCTGACCAGATAGCAGTCCTCTCTAAAACTTTAGTTTTAAGCATTTCCATAAATTGATCCATTTCATCTAAACTGTATAGACTGTATATTTAAAGTTATTTAGCTGCACTCATCATTTTTTGTCACTCTCATATTTTCTCATATTGGAGCAAGGAAGCTCTGGGGGGAGAAGAGGCATCTGGGACTCAGGGTGCAAGAGTGAGTGTAGGATATAAGGATGGAACCCATGATTTGGGTGCTACTTGATGGAAAGGCCTCAGCGTGAAGGAGCTCGGCATCCACATATTGAAATAATTAAGTGAAAGAGCCCTTCCTTCCAACCTCCAGAGGGGGAGTTGCATTGTCCCCATTGGAAGGCCAACATCTGTTTCTAGGAGCCATAGGGAGAAAACCTGCCTGACAAGTGCCAGCCTGGCCCAGGGGCAGGCCTTGAGGCACATGCCAGCCCAGGACACCCTGTCCTTCTGCTCCTGAGAACAACCACACAAAATGCAAAAAGGCATTCCTCCTCTACACTGCCTCCCAACTGTCTTCCAGGATCCCACACCTCTGTGACTGTCCCAGTGTGGGCCTGGGCTTCCTCCCCAGGACACTCCACCATGATCCTCAGTAGGCCTCTCCTACTTCCCAGAACCTCCTGCACATTGTGACCTTTCAGGCAGCTCTTAGGCAATCCCTTCCCTAGGCCAAGGTTGGGTCAGAAAATGGCCATTTCCTGGCAGCAATCCCCGTTCCCCTGCCTCAAGCTGGGAAGTGGCTTTGCCTTAGGGAGATTCACCACCATTGGGATTTTTCTATAGAAAAAGACATGAAGAGTTTCTCTTTAAAACTTCCTGGGCTGGGATTCCTGGGCTGGGATTGTAGCTCAGTGGTAGAGTGCTTATCCAGCATGCATGAGGCACTGGGTTCGATTCTCAGCACCACACATAAATGAATAAATTAAAAATAAAGGTCCATCAACAACTAAAAAAAATATTTTAAAAAACCAACTTCCTATCATCGGATAGTTTCACAACTAGGGCCCTATCAGAAAATAGCAAATTACTAAAATGTCACATGTGACATACATTTCAAGCTGCAGGAACAGCTATGAGCACATAGTCCTGTAGAGATATCAGGGATGGAAGGTGTTAGAAGCCTCCCCTCCTGGCTAACCCACGTACTTCCCACTCTTCATCTGTGCACACTTCAATTTACAATCTTGAGCATCAGTGGAACCCAACACAAAGAGCAATTCCACATGGATACACTTGGCTTTTATGTAAATAGCAGCCATAAGATGGCCTGTCATCTGCATTCCCCTACTCTGCTACCTCCAGCAGGGGCCATGAGGAGGGTTTGGGTGACGAGGCAGCATGGCAGGTGGTGAGGCACACAGTCACTGCTGCAGGCAGGCCCACCCCTAACCCCTGGCCCCCTCTGACTTCCTAGCAAACAGTATGAAGGAGATGATGTCATAGAACTCTCTGGGGTCTCCTGTGCCTTCTCAGATGTGATTTCTCCAACAGTTGCCACCCACCCATCTTCTCCACACAGCTCAGGAAGGGATTCCTTCTGCCAAAGGACATGAACTCAAACTCATTCAAACTCATTCATGTCTACACTGGCTCTAAGGAAAAATCCCCATTCAACTGGGTTAAGGGGAGAAAATCTCCAAAGCACTGGGTCAAAGCAAGTGAGTACACATCTACACTGGAGACCCTCTACACTAAGGCAACTGAGTCCCCATCTACACTGCTAAAGCCAAGCAAGTCCCCCTGTCTGATGGCTGAGGTGAGTCCTCCTCTACACTGGCTCACGGTGAGTAGATTTATCTACATTGAGTACGCACAGTGGTCCAGGCCTTGGAATAGATGCCTGGTGGGCTCTTGCCCCACTTGGAAACCCCCTGTCCCCACTTTCTGACATCAGCCCTTTTTTGTAAATCTTTGGAACATCAATTTGACTATGCAATTGAGAAACAAATTTATTAAGAAATATCTCTGCCATCCCAGGAGCATGGGAGAAAGGACAGAGAAGAGCAGGGCAGGGGAAGGGTCCCAGGGTAAACAGTCTCATCTGATGACTCTGGTAGGTGGGGCAGGGGACACCCGATGTCCAGGTAGATCCAGGTGTGCTCCTGGCTAGACCCCATGTGGAGAAGCCCAGCCAGGAGGCACTCAGTCCTGCAGCTGTTGGAGTCCAGGTGACCAATGGTCATGTAGTGACAACAGCATCCACAGAGCAAAGGCTCCTCTGGCTGGCTGTTTCTTCGTTTGGTCCATCTGAACTGTCCATTTATGTAGGAACCACCCGATTTGTGAACCTAGCAGGTTTCTGCTCTCCTGGTGTAGGAGCCTCGTTTTCGCCATCACATGAGGGTGTGCAACAGCACAGTCTGCGCAAGCAGGCAGCCATCCTCCGCCTCACCCGCTTCCAAACCTTGCTGTGGCCCTGGGGACGCCCTGTGGTGGCATCTTGGGAGACAATGCTGTCTGTTGTTGATGGGCAGGGTTGGGGTGAGTCAGACACAGCGTGATGCTG